GGGGGGTTTGTGGGGATACACTTAGAATGTGAGTGGGTTTGTAGATGGGGAGGGGATGTGGGTAGTGGGAATCGACACTTGTGGTTACGATGGAGGTTGGGAGGGTTAGGGGTGCATGGGACTGGGGTAGGGTGAGAGGGGAGGGAAGGGTGTGGCGTTGGGGGAAGGGAAATGCAAGGGACGCGGATTGGACATTAGTGTGTACAGCTAGTTGAAGGGATTGGGGTGATTGGGAAGAGAGATGTGGGATGGTGAGGCTGTTGAGGGGTGCGGCTGAGGTTTGTTTAGGTTGAGATTTGGTTACGGGTACAGTAAACGAACTAACTTTATCTTTGCTTTCTCTTCGAGATGCAAGCTAGCAAGGCTTGTGGGTATTATGTTGAATTCATTCAAGATCCCAAAGCGTAACATTTAAAAAAAACGACAGAGCATGTTTGTTCTTTCCATCTAGAACATCGAGCGTTCACGATCTTTGCTGAGGAGGGAGCTGTATTCCTTCCCTATCAAGTCGCTCGTCGCGAACCTTGTTTCGGTTCCTATCGACGCAGCGGACCCAGATGCTACCACACATCTTTAGTCTGTAATCCGAAAAACAAAACTAGCGAACCCGGAGTTCCCGAACCCCTTGCAGTCAGTCAGCGCGAATGCAAAACTGACATCAAGGGGGACGGAAGGGGCGGCGTCCCAAACTCTGAGTACGATACACGGCGCAGTAAGTACATGTACATATGCAAGATTACCCGCGGAGCCGCCGATATACGTGCATAAGCGGCAAACTTCGTTCCCGAACTTTTCTCTTCCTCTCTAACCCCCAGTTCGGCGCGGTGTCGTCCGTACCATGTACCTTCGTCTTAAAACTTTCCTTTCCTTTTTTTCTCTCTTTCAACTGCCAGTCTAGTACAGAAATTGATTTGATAACGAGATTTATGCACCAAGCGCGTGCGTCATGACCTTGTAGTACACATTAGAATTTTCTTTTCTTTCTTGGGGGCCTTGCTTCCGCGGTATGTAAAAGTACGTGTTCATAGTGCATTTTTTTTTCAATATGTCTCACGTTGCACATGTGTGTATGTGTACAACAGCTCAACGTGGCTCTGTGGAACGGGTTACATGTGAAGGTGGCAGGTCCGGAGGCCTTGCGATGTTGAGTGAAACTGGACGGGTAATAGATGTTATAGTCCGGCTTGGATAATAGGTATGTAGTTTCATATGTGAGCAAGGATCAAGTCCGTGCTAAATGTTACAAATGGAAAGACAAAGGGTGGTTCTAGATTAGAGATGTAGTCCTTTGTAGGCAAGTATCATGTTTGGGGTTTGCGGAAGGTGCCGTCGTCAGACGGAGTGCTAGATACAGAAGGGCCGCTCGGCGTGTGTAATTAATTGGTGACATGCCACTATGTGGCATGGCCCGGTGACTGCTCCTGTTTAGATGTACCTGACGAGAAGAGTCGAATATAATCAGAAAGAAGAAAAGAAAGGAGGGGGGGAGAGCTTGGTTTGTAGAGCCTGGAACGGGGTTTGGCTGACGAGATCATGGTAAGTAGTTGAGGAGTAGTGGTAGACTAGACTTCTAGAAGCGGACAAGTCACAGGCTGTGCATGATTGGCTACCAACTATTAGAGGCTTGAAGCACGTGAAGCTTCGCTCGAGTGTTGATATCACGTGATTATGAGTATCTTTGACGAATTCCATGTGTCTTGAAAAGTAATCTGGTATGCCGGCTATCTGCCCAACTACACCGATCAGGGAGAATCCTTCTCATCTTGCATTCCCATCCCACAAAACGTCCATACTCGGAAGAATTAATACGCATGCTATACATACGGGTCTTTGGCAAACCCGATGCCCGTCAGGCTGGGCACATACAAACAAGGAAGGAGGGCGGTTGCCATCAGGATTGGAGACTTGCTCTATCGTCAACAATCTGGATTTCCCACGTGTTAATCCATTGGCTCAAATATCGGTGAGGAAGAAAAAAAAAGAGGGCGCAGGGTGCTCAGCCCAGGCACCACACGTGCATAAGGCGGAATGGGGGAGATAAGGGCCAATGCAGGGATGGGCAAAGAGGAAATGGGGAGGCACAAAGGCGTCCACTGGAGTAGACGTGTGGCCCACCAAAGAAACGTGCATACATGCAGCGGCGGCAGCCGGGAGGCTTGCTGTCAAGGCTATAAGAGTAGTGCTCTAGTACTTACTTTTTTAGAGTACTCTCCACACATACACATGTAAGCGGGTGGACGCAAAATGCAAGCCAAGCATGCACAAGGTATACACATTCTTGCCAACCGAAGACATGCCGCGTCCTCTATCGGCTGCCGAAGCGAGGCAGAAGTAGGCTCTTCACCTGTAGTATTGCACATGGCTGGAATAGGCTAATCTACAAGCACTGCATGTGTAATTGGTAGAATGCCGGGCGTGTTGGCTTGATTGCCATTGGATGTAGCTAATGGAATTTGGTAAGCATGAAAAAGTAAAGAAAAAGTAACAAGAGATAAATTCCCATCAGAACATGTAGGAGTATACATGGACACTCGGACGCGTGGATGGTTACTTCTGGTTGTGCAAGCGTGTAGTTGTCTGCATTGACAAACTGCGCACGTGTTACCGGACGGCAAGAACGGCGCATCGGGCTCGCCCCGGCAAACTCACGTCTGCGTCTTTTCCCCCCCATTCTTATCCCCATTCCTCCCCCATGGCCCAACGTTTGAAACCCGGATCGGCAACAAGTAGTCGTTAGGGTAGGCGGAGAAAAAGTGTCCCAAGGCGGAAAGTAGTCTCCATGGGCGCTATGCCACTTGACTGTGTCTTGTCCATCTCAGCTGCCATTCTCCTGATCAACTTCCCCTCTTTTTGCTCGCAACTTGGTCTTGAAACGGCCGTGCATGAATAGCGCAACACATGTCAGGATGTAGGGCCAATCACGCGACGGGCCTCCACTCACGACTCGCAGCACAGTGTGAATAGGGCCCTAGGGCGTGATGATCTTTGCTATCACGACAGGCCTAGTCGCCGAGGCCCCGGGGGGCCTAAGCTCAATACACCCAACATCAACAGCAACAGGGCGTGGTGCCATCAGGGTAGAGATGAATTATGTTCATAGAAGTTAGGTAAAAACAAAAAGTTAAACAACTCTAAAAGTCTGTCAAAGGGAACAGCACAAGTCTTTTGACTCCCAGAAGCATGCCGCATCGTACCTCACATGGCCACCTCCACCCCCCCCCAAAATAGGAAATACACGGTACCGATCAAAATGCCATAACACAGTCGGTCTAAATAAATTCAAGGCGGATGCCAAGAGCGCCGCCATTTAGCAAAAGGTTGAAGAAGGATGTGTGAGAGAGAAGAGAAGAAGAAAGAAGAAAAGCGGTCGATACCAGTGGGTAGTAGTAGAAGAAGAAGGGAGGAGGGTGTTCAGAGGCGCGTCCAGTAGACGTGAATCCGTTAAAGTCGGTAATGCGAACCCAAATAAAAAAGATGACAGTGTCCAAAGCGAGAGGCAATCGAAGGGCACTAGTACCACCAGGGCGGCGGCGGACAGGCAGTACGTAATAGTTGGGCTTCGCGTATTTTCTTCTGCTGGACCAAGCAGCACCGCCAATGGCCAGGGCGGGGGCGACGGAACCGAGCGGTGTAGGTAATCTCTCCACAGCCTAACCCGACAACAATGACAATCGACTCCAAGTGCCTTACATTACTGCGCAACAGCAGCCCTTCTTCTCGGCCTGCTCATCCGTCTCGAACGTTGTCTTCTGGGGGCCGGCGCCGTTTGAGCCGGGGGCGCCCGTGTATGATGACATTTCCTTGTTGTATCTGCGGATTTCTCGTACAATGTCGTAGAAGGCGTTGTCGACGTTGATACGGGACTTGGCTGATGTCTCGATGAATTTGCAGCCAAAGTTTCGCGCCAGAGTTTGGCCCTCTAAACAGACGAGCGAGTTAGCTATGGGAGAGGAACAATATCAAGGAGAGAGAGAGAGGGAGAGAGAGAGAGAGAGATGGGCGGCGCGTACCTTGTGTCGACACTTGCCTCTCGCCATCGAGATCGCACTTGTTGCCGACGACAATCATGGGGAAGTAGTCCTTGTCCTTGACCCTGAGGATTTGCTGCTGAAATGTCATAATCTCCTCGAAGCTTTGCCTGTCGGTTATCGAGTAGACGAGCAGGAAGCCCTCTCCTGTGCGCATATACTGCTCGCGCATGGCCGAGTACTCCTCCTGTCCAGCTGTGTCGAGCACATCGAGCAGCGCAACCTCATCGTCAATGACGCACTGCTTACGGTACGAGTCTGGGCGATGTTAGTGTGTTTGTCGGGCTTGGGAGGCGGCGCACAGGGGATGATCACTCACCCTCAATGGTTGGATCGTACTCGTCAACGAAGTGGCTCTGGATCAGCTGGATGGTCAAACACGACTTTCCAACACCACCGCCACCGACCACGACCAGCTTGTATTCTCGAAGAAACTGGAGCAGGGTTAGCGGACGCCTGAGAGGAAAAGGGGGAGGAGCGAGGGGGGAGAGACGGACCTTGGATGCCATTGTGAAGGAAGAAGAAGAGATGCCGGACGATGCTGAGGACGTCGGGCAATGGGTATATTAGATTTTAGCAAGTACGAGGCCGAGCTCAGTGACGGATAACGGGGCCAGGATGGATGAGGCGGAAACAAGGAGCGACGTGCTCTCCAGATGCAAGCGAGAGGAGACGGGCACGCAGGCGTGTGGCGATACGACGCGCGTGTGGACGTGGTGGTTGGGAGAGGGAGGGAGGGAGTGGTCCGGGGGGTTGGCGGTGGCAAGCGAAGGAAGAGGAGTCGCGACAGAGAAGGAACAGGAGAACAGAGCGGAGCTGGGCAGAAGCGGGCTGGGCAGGACAGGGTAGGGTAGGGCAGGGTAGGGCAGAGGAAGCAGGGCAGGGCAGTAGTAGCGATATCGGTAGCGGTAGTGGTGGTAGTAGTAGTAGCAGTAGTAGTAGTAGCGGCTTGAGCAGCAGCAGCAATAGCAGCAATAGCAGCAGCAGCGCAGAGCAGAGCGGAGCAGCAGCAGCGGCTTGACGAGCAGCGGCTTGAGCAGCTTGACGAGCAGCACACTAGGTCCGTCTGGGGCGGCTTGAGCAAGGGAGCGGCTTTGGCAGACAGGACAGGACATGCACAAGGCCTCTGACTGGCGCGCCCGTTAGCGCTGCTGCCCTGTGCCCTGTGCCCTGTGCCCGCGCCCACACCACCGCCGCCGCCCTCCCAGAGCCACCCAGAGCCACCACCAGCTTCATGACGCCGCCGCCGCCGACGCCGCCGACGCCCCCCCATGAACAGGACCCGTCGCCCGTCCCCACCAGCCTCTACCACCTCACTTATGCGCCGGCTGCAAGGCGAGTAGGCCCGGCGTCTGCATGCAGCTGCCCTCGTCCTGTCCATGGCCTTGGAAGATGCACTCGGGTGTGAACACACGCACGTATACCACCTACCTGCCTACTAACCACTACTCTACACTACACTACACTACACTACACTACACTACACTACACTACACTACACTACACCCGCCCGTACCACACCACTCCCTGGCCCTGCCTCTGCCTCGTCACCACCCACTGTGCACTACCACCCTCGCGCCCACGCCGCCCCAAAAGCAAGCCAAGCAAAAGAGGCCAAAAGCGGCGCGTCGTGGAGATACAGGCGCCACATCGACGGGCTGCCTCCGATGCTTCCATGCGATCCCAGCGCCCAAAACCATACGGCACGGGGTCCATAATGTCCTCGCGCGAACCACTACTGTGCACCAGGGGGGGTGGGTTCGGCAAGATAGGGAAAATAGCAAGCGCTGCCGCAAAACGATATCGACAGCGTCGCTCTGGCACTGCTGCACTTGCTCATCCACCGCCGGCTGTGTACATCCACCATGCATCCACATGCACACGCATCACCCTCTGTCCAGGCCATGTCGACGCATCAACCCCATCTCTGCACCCATAGCCGCGGGCGCGACCATGCACCTCGGCGGCGGGTACCACAGTAAGTCGAGCGGCAGAGCGGGGGTGCCAGGAACCAACCACTCGGCAGTCAGCACTACCCACGCCCAAAACAGACTGCCCACGTGAGCCCCGCCCACCACACACATCCTTTACTACACATGTAACATTCTCCATACACACTGCACTGCTCGTCATGGCAATGCCGTCCCCCCTTGCCCCCTTCTATCCCTCCCTTATCTCTCCGCCCCTCCCCATGTGCCTGTGCCAGGGTCTGCTGCCCGTGTGTGGCGGTTGAGGCCTTCCATCTGTCTTCGAGAAGCTGCCTAGACTTCAACTGCCAGCTGCTTCCTCACTACTTGACATTCCTCCACACGTCCCTGCATCAGTCCATCCCTTAGTTGCGCTATATATATATATATATATAAATATACACATACATACTACATGCTATGTACTTACACACATACACGTTGACTACCTTGACTACCATGCACCACATCACTGTCTACGAATCCTTGTCCGACGTTTCCCCGTCGTCCTCGCCCTCTACACTGACCCGCCTCCCCTCGACTGCCTTTTCCACCTCAGGCACCAGGCTCTCCATAAACTCGCGGTCCCGACCAACCAGCGTCACCGTGTTGCGGTCCTTGCCCCATCTCGGATAGCTGCCAACCTTGACCCCCCTTGGCTCCGCCCTCGCTGCAAGTTCTGTCAGGTATCCCGCAACGGTGCTTTCAGCCAGTGGCGTCGAAATCAGAATGCGCAACACCCCTTTGCCCTCCGGGTCCGTCAGGCGCGGCAGGATGCGGGGCTTCAGTCCGTCCAACATGGCTTCAAAAAGTCGTGGCACACCAGGCAGAATGTGGACATTGCCATTAACTACGCTAACCGGCACCCACAGCGAATCATCGATAAAGACTACTTGATCTTCGTCCGCCAACGACTCGTCAATCGGCAGCTCAACCATGCGCTTCTTGGCCGTCAGCGCAGGCGAATCCACATTCCAATCAAAGCCGGGCTGTGACTTGTGCGGCTTCGAAAGACGCTTCATCCGCTCAAACGCCGGTTCGTGCAGCTTCAACTGCAAGCCAAACGCCCTGGCTATCGATTGGTAGGTAATATCGTCGTGACTGGGCCCTCATTAGCCCAGTGGCTGCATGGTGTAGCGATGGCGCTTTCAACTCACGTGGGTCCAATGCCACCACTCGTCACCACCATATCATAGTTCTTCGACATGCGTCGGACTGCCTCAACAATCTCGCCCTCATCATCCGCAATCACCTCGATCCTGCGCAGATTGATGCCCAGCGAGAAACACCACTTTGCAAAATACGCCTGAACAAACATTAGCTGCAATGATACCGCGTCGATCCGCCCCTAGCATACCGAGTTTGTATCGACAGTCTAAGTTTCACGTCAGCTGCTGTGCACCATGAATTTCTCCCTCTCGACGAACCTTTCCTCCCAAAACTTCATCCCCTATGATCAGGCAGCCCGCCGTGTGGATTAGACTCTTTTGCTGTGGTGCAGCCATGACTGATGACGTTATCGATTGGCCAAAAGAAGCCGCAGGCCGGTGCGCAAAGTTGGGCAATGGACGAGACAGTTGTCTAGCAACCTGATTGAGTCGTCCAAACATGAATCAATCAAAAGGTCTCGGCCCAGCAAAGTCTAAACAGCGAGGTGCATGAGAAAGAAGGACTCGAGCAAAGGACAAGGTGCATGATGGATATGATGGCTACATGGAGCTACGCGACTAGCGCCGTTCTCCGACTCCCCCCGCCCTACCCCACCAACAAGGGCTACCATCAGTCTCACACCACCTACAAACAATTACCAAACTCTAGCATTCTTCCCGCTTATCGTGCAACATCATGGTAAGTGCTCTTGCCGCTATACATGCCGCCAGGCTAGACAATCTACTAATCCTTGGGCCAGTCTTCGGAAGCACGACTCTACACCTTCTCAGACGAGACCAAGACCAAGCTACGAAAATTCCGACTCGGCACAAGTCGAGCCAAAGACCCGCAAGCTGTCATCTGTATGCTCAAGTGACCTTTCTATCATGTCTACCACAAGTTGCCTTGCCGCAGAGCAGTCCTACCGAGGCCGCCACACGGGCTTGTTATACCATATAATGGCGCTGACGCCTCTGCGCGCCAGACGAGATCGATAAGAAGACGCTCGAGATACGACCGGTAGATGGCGAGGTCTACTCAGACGTCCAGTCCCTTGCAGACGAGCTTCCCGACCATGCTCCCCGATTCGTGCTTCTAAGCTACCCGTTGACACTCGTATGCCTACCATTGACATGACTCACTAAAACAAACCACTGAGACAAACAGAACTCTGGACGATTGTCCGTGCCGTATGTCATGCTCTACTACCTCCCCATAACGTGCAACAGCGAGGTCAAGATGTTGTACGCGGGTGCAAAAGAGCTCATGCGGAACACAAGTGAAGTTGGCCGCATCATTGAAATTGATAGTGCCGAGGATCTGGAAGAGATTGAAGAGAAGCTCAAGGAGCAGGCATAGATTGCAGATGAACTAGCCACTGGATAGGCTTGAAAAGACACGACGTACATGCGAAACGACTACTCGACCACGCTTTTCGCACTACAATCCAAGACTCGATGGAGCACTCACATGGCCAGCACGCGAAAGAATCCATCGTATCATCAATGCCCCCGTCTTCTTGCCATTATCAGCTTTGAGGTTATTGCACTAATACTGCTAGCACTAAAAAGTTAGAGTCCATACCCCCACGAGCAGTCCTCTCAGCCCACGAACGCAACAACCAAGCATGACTGCCTCGACTGGTTTGTCAGCCGATAAAGACACAGGCGAGTAGGACGTACAAATCATGAAACATATCGGAGCACATAAGACTACTCCATGCGGTAAAGTTGTTGACGATTGGCACTATCTCTTGTAGCCTTGCACCCGCTTCTGACGCACACGCCTTCGGCTCAGCGGCTTGTAAGGCCACTTTATGCTAACACTTTGACGGCTCCAGGGATATTGTTTCTATAGCGCGGAGATTTCATCGTGGCTATGATCGGAGGAATAGCGACTTGCGTCTTTGGTGCACGGTGCCCATCCACCTCGCTGCTCCTGCCCCTTTTTTGGCGTGCTCTCCCGCTCTACCAATAATGATGCTACCCCACATGTTCTCGGTTTTGCGCTGCATCAGGGCCCAATGGCAGAAACGCAATTTCCTGGACGCCTGCTTCCCGCGAGATTTTTTTTTCCAGGGCTTCCTTGGCTTGTTGCGAGTTTGTTCCCTCTCGAGTGCAGCACTTGCTAGGTTAATTGCATTGCGTGGCCTGACCAACGGATGATATCATCATATACGACAGCACAGAAACATGATTTTCGTTTTCGTTGCTGACCTACTTTCAAGAGTATTTACGTCATTCGGTCAATTAGGAAAAAACGTGTGTTTCACATAGAGCCCCACAAAATATTCCCAGAACCCACTTTTCCTTGGCTAAAGGGGAAGGAAAAGGAAGCGTGCAAGGATGGAACACGAGGATGTTCTAATGCGATCGCCGCCCACAAAGCTATTCATTTCCCAGTGACATAGGCGACGGGTGGGAAGGCAAGGGTCGGAGCTTAATCACCTCATTTGGTGTCTTTTTTGGCACAGACTGCCAGTCATGGGGAGGGGTGAGAGGGAAGGGAAGGGAGGGAGGTGATCCAGAAGGGTTCAGGGATTCGAGTTTATGCACTACTACTTACTTACTAAGAACACCACTTTGCCCGCCCTGACGTGATCTTTCTTAGTCACCCTTTTAGGCATCTGCAATGTTAAGTATATCATACCATCTGATCAAAAAACCTTATCTCTGTATACAAATGAAATGATCGTTTGTTGTTTTTTCTTTCTCGGCACACCTTACCCACCAATCAAACTATGAAATTCCCCGATATCATTCACATATACCCCCTTCACGCACCAACCTTAAAAAACCCCCCACCACCACAATTTACACTTCCGTAATCGGAAATTTCTCCCCCAAGCTATTGATATTACTTTACCTCTTTCCTTGTATCTCTCCTTTCTTTCCTTTTTTTTTATTATTATTATTGACGTTTCTATCCTCATTTCGTAATCCTTGGTTTGCTGTTGTGATATTTTAGTAGTAATCACGGGGAGCTATAGTTATGCACATGATAAGCAGCAACGTTAATCATAGGAAAGATGATAGTTACTCAATAGCGATTAAAATATGATGTTAATATGGAAAAAAAAGGGGACGTGAATGTTTTAATTTTGTCAAGTGTGGTGCTCTGCGTGCATTGACGTATCTCGCCCGCCCCCCCCCCCCTTTTTTTTTGGTTGGATGTCACTGGGTTTTGAGTGTTTGGGCTGGTTTTGGTTCGCCATATCGTAAGATAGGGGAGTATCTGGTGTTGTGTGTAGGGTAGGGGTATCAGATGGGAGGAGGAGGTGGTGGTGGTGGTAAAAGGGGAGTTTTTTCAGTGGGTATGGGTACGAAGCAGGGACATGTAGTAGATATGGAGGACTCTTTTCTCGTGTTGATGTGTTTGGGATTGAATGGTGATGCCGGTGCTGGTGCTGGGTAGTTATGAGACGGCGGTGCATTGTTGTTGCAATGGGCTTTGAGATGCTTGAGCTTGAATCGATGGTGGTCGTATAGGAGCCTTGAGAAAGCGTTTGCTTACTTTGAGCGGTGTTCTTGGGGTCTTTGCTTTGTGTCGTGTATCATGTAGATTGATTGTGTGAGTGGTTAATTTCTCCCTGGAATGGTGTACGCGGGTGTGGTGGGTATTTACGCGTCAAACCTTTTTATCGCTTTGTTGGAAGTGAGAGGAAGTGAAGTTGAGGTTTTTCTGTCGCATTTGGATCGCTTTGGGGGAATGATGATTGCTCCGCGTTATTATCTTTTTTTCCCGAATCGTTTTACGCTCCATGTAGTGGATATAAGAAAGACTGTATTCAACATATCTCATACTCTAGATTACACGGATAAACCTACAAATGACATGCTGACATGTAACAACATTAACTCAAGTCTCGAGCAAATTTAGGATACAAAAGAATAGTAACTCATCAGTTACGCCATCCAACGCCAACCCCTCGTCTCAAAAGCACAGAAGAATCAAGATAGTATATACAACACCGAAGTTAAGCACTCACTCCCTCACCTCCCTCTTCCTTTCCCTATCCCACTCCTTCTGCTCCTTCAAAAACGCCTCCTTCTTCATCTGATACCCCTCATGCGCCTTTGCCCTCTCCCACACACCCCTAAACACTTCACTCGCCTCCAACTTCTCATTCATACCCACATGTCCTGTGCTCTTCTCCAACTCCCGTCCCGTCTTCTTATCATACTTCCTACCCCCAGCATGATTCGCGTACCTCTTCGCACGCGTCATGCCCATTTGCAAGAACTTACGCGCCATGTCCATGCCAATGAAGTCGTCCTCGTCGTTGTAGTGTAGGAACTTTTTGTAGATTGCAGATGAAGATTGGTGCGCGATAGAAGGAGTTTTGAAGCGCCAGAGAGGCAGGATGGAGGATTTGTACGGCTCGAAGGTTAGGACGCCGGTTTCGCCGCGGCCGATGCGGTACGTCATGCGTTGGGCTTTGGTGAGGGATTCGGTAGGCATCTTGGGCGTGTATTTGGTGGGGGCTGTAGTCTTTTGGTGGATACGTAGACAGCCATGGGAGAGTTGAATCGTTGTTGGTGAGGTGTTGTCGTCTGTCTCTGATGACGTAGTGCGTTCACGCTATGCGACGCGCCATCACGTTTCCTTTGTCACGCACTGCCATGTGATGTCCACGGGCCGGGCCTCAGTCTTGGTACGATCGGTGCCGTTGAGTGTACATATAGTGATTGACGTGCTATTCCAAGAATCGTGCATATTAGTCAAGTAGTCTCCGTACGCGAATCTGCGTTGAGTTGACACGTTATGGAGTCTAATATCCTCTTATTTACATTGTAATGCAACCATTTTTTGTAGTTTCGTGGTTTCTGCACATAAGTTGCAGTGGTATAGTTGGTCATTGAGTGAGGTATGTGACATTCACCAATTCCTTCACACTCCGCTCTTGTGGCGCACTGACATGCCCGATCCGGTGTATTACTTTTCCTCCCCAATCCCATTATTGATCTCCAGTCTTCCCCCATGGCCTACATATCGCCTTCTCTACCCTCTGCACAATGGACGGCTGCTGTTCTTTCTGGTCTTCCTCGTGGACGCCCAAGACCTGGCCAATCAGCCCACCAGGCTTAGGGACGGGACATTCGCGCTTGGCTGCCAGCTTCTCCTCAATCAGCTGCCTCCTCCTCCTTTCGTCGCTCAAGTTGTCTTCATTGATCTCGCCATCGGATATTCTCCGTCTACGCCGCCTTCTGTTTTCTCCTGTGGGGTCTGCTGAGTCGGCAAGTGTGCGCGGATCGACGGGGCATGGCAAGATGTGTGGAGCAGCGACAACGAGGAATGAAATCATCAGAGTCGATGTAAAGAGCGAAGTCGTCATGCGCGACCGTGGGTGAAGGTGAGGAGGCATGTTTGGTGGGTGGTGTGCAAATTAGAGAGCGGATTGCAGAGGCATTGAGGGGCTTGGTGGGCTGTCAACAGCGTCGCAGTGATTGACAAGCAGCGAGAGAGACGACACGAGGCCAATTGAGTTGCCTCGAGCAAGCGTAGACGTCGGGGGAGCGGTGGGCGCGGGGTTGCTAGTGATGAATGACTTTTGGTGGAGGGAAGGTCCAAAGCCGAGCTACTAGCTGCACGGCTCAACGCTGATCCCTGCATGTCGGAACACCCGCTGTGGATCTTATACACGATACCACCAGCCCACCATTATGCGCCTACACAGCTACTGAACAGCTTCAAATCGATATACGCATACCATACTTACAAGAAGAAGCTTACACGAGCATCTCTAGCACCAACCAATCCTCTTGGCTGCAAGATAGCCACGCGCTGCACGCGTTCCGCCACCAGCGATAGCACCCGCCCCCACCGAATTCTTCGAGATATATAGCTTTGCAAACAACCACACGTTGCGCCCGTTGTCCCAATATCCCTACGTTTGCTTCTCAAGGCACCACTACGTGCGCTCATAGCGCAGAACCGTCACCATGAGCGCTGGCGGTAGCGACCTCGACAAGTACGACCAGCCACTGAGCCTCAGCATGTGTACGCAGAGTACGGTACTGACAGCGATTATAGAGCCATTCAGCAACTCCGCGCATGTCGACCTATCCCTGAGAACCAAGTTCGAGAGCTATGCTACAAAGCACGTGAGCTGCTTATTGAAGAGGGCAACGTCGTGGCAGTCGATGCGCCAGTAACGGTAGGCAGCTTGTCAACATCTTCCGCCGGCACAGCTAACCTTATCATGTCAAAAGATATGCGGTGATATTCACGGACAGTTCCATGATCTCATGGAGTTATTCCGTGTTGGTGGAGACGTGCCAGACACAAACTATCTCTTCATGGGTATGGAGGAGCGCCATCTATGGCACCAACAATGCCTTGATTGACCAACTTGCAGGTGACTTTGTCGACCGCGGCTTTTACTCCCTCGAATCCTTCCTCCTGCTTCTATGCCTCAAAGTCCGATATCCAGACCGAATAACACTCATCAGAGGCAACCACGAATCAAGACAAATAACAACAGTGTACGGTTTCTATGATGAGTGCCTGCGGAAATACGGAAGCGCAAACGTCTGGAGGTACGGCGCCAAGCTGAAATTTTGCTAGAATGGCAGTTGACGTGTAACAGATACTGCTGTGAAGTCTTCGACTACCTTGCTCTTGGAGCTCTTGTCCAAGGCGCTGCGACGTCCCTCCAAGCCACCGATGGGCCCATCGCAGAATCCAGCAATGCGGAAAATATGCCTGACATTGACCAGGATATTGAGATTGAGACTTTGAACGCAAGCGGCGAGGTCATGTACCGCTACGCTCGCAACTCAGACTCCCACTCGAGCGCCGCATCGCAAATGAGCGGGAACTTGGGTTCGTCGTCGCCCGTCTCTCAAACTCCGGGACGCGTTGGCCCTGCAGGCACAGGCGCAACATCCTCAGCCAACGGCTCTGCGCGCAACGATACAGGCGCCATCCTCTGTGTACACGGCGGTCTGTCACCCCTCGTTGATTCAGTCGATAAGATCCGACTACTCGACCGAAAACAGGAAGTGCCCCACGAGGGGGCCATGTGCGACCTCCTTTGGTCTGATCCTGACGAGATAGATGGCTGGGGTCTATCACCACGCGGCGCAGGTTTCTTGTTTGGTGCAGACATTGTCAAGACTTTTAACCACAAGAACGATCTTAGTCTTATCGCAAGAGCCCACCAGCTCGTCATGGAGGGATTCAAGGAGATGTTTGATTCCACCATTGTAACGGTTTGGTCGGCGCCCAACTACTGCTATCGCTGCGGTAATGTAGCCGCCATCCTTGAGCTAGGCGAGGACGGTTCCAACGCCGGCTACCAGAGGAGATCAAACGGAGATAGAGGCGGAGGTGGTGGAGGCTGGGTTCTCGGCTCCAACGCTGGACCCAATGGTGAGAGGCGCTTGAGCAATATGCTCAACGACAACTTCCAGAAGAACAGAGATGGCCCAGGGCGAAGATACCGCGTTTTTGAAGCCGCGCCCCAAGACTCTAGAGGTATGCCGGCGAAGAAGCCCGTTGCGGACTACTTCCTCTAGGACAGGCATGAAATGGATGCTGCCGTGAAGAAGGCAAAAATCAGGGACTTGGGCTTGATGGGCGGTTTACTCACAAACAACGTTGTGCGCAGATCGCACAATGAGGCTGCCGAGTATTTTCTGTAATAGAAGATCCAAGGGCGTCTGGAGTTTTATTGTAGCGTAATTGGATTAGTCGTATCGGGGCGCGTTGTAGTGGACCAAAAGAAGTAGGCATTGTCATTATGGATACCCGAATCAATGATATGAACGGATCATTAGTCTCTACAGCCTATTTCTAACACCCAGCCTACCTGTGAGCGTTTGCTTGCAAGACCAAAAAGATGGAGATTTGTACGAGTTGCTTGTACGCCCCTCTTCAGACACCAAAAAAATAACCGACAAAAACATACGACAGCGGGGATTCGCCAGTGGTCACCCACCTGACTACTAGCTCGCCGGTAAACTGCTTAACTACAGAAGAACGGACGGGTTTCGGTGATCCAGTTTCCTATGGACGTATGTGCTTGGGTTGTGAAGATATGAAGATCATATCGTTGGTGTGTGCGTTGTTATCCTGTGCCCGTGGAGTTCAGTCACAACCATTTCCAAATATTGAACTTTCAAAAGAGGTAAATAGTAGAATTTCTCAACACGCTTTTTTAAACAGCCCATTGACTACGCCGCCTCAAGCTCGGTCCATACCGGTAAAGCACATACGGAATAGGCACCGTGAGCACCCCAAGACATCCCAGCAACGTCAAAGTCCAGTGCGTTCCTAGGTTCCTATACATAGGTATACCGACCACAGTCATGCCGCCCGCTGCAATATACCTGGTGAGCGCATTGAAGGTAAGCGCTGAGGCAGCGTACGCCTCATAGCTATCAATGATGTACATGTAAGCAGACATGAAGATGCAAATGTTGCTGAATCCGACGAGAACTGATGCCGCGAGGGGCGACCATATTGAGATGGAATTCTAATTTGCTAGTTAGAAAGGTTGTAAAGGGTAAGGTACGGTGGTGCTTACATAGTCAGTCCAGCCCATCCAGAAAAGGCCAATTGGTAGTGCGGGTGCGCCCACCATAGCGAAAAATAGTCTCGATTCTCGATGAACCAGTTTGCCGGATCCGTCGTCTCCGTCTTGTTTGAGTTGGTGGAGGGTCTGGCGGTAGGCGAGCGGGACTAGGATTGCTGAAAGCATGATTCCGATGAAGAGGCCCATGAAGCAGATGTTGGAGAGGCCTTCGTTGATGCCGTAGGTTTCTGCGAAGATGAAGGGGTAACTGGTAGAGAATTAGCATTGCTCAAGTCCCCCAACTAAAGCCCTTGAAGATACATACCCATCTAGAAAAGTGAACAAGATTATATACACAATTGTCAAGTACAATGTGAATGCTACAACGATAGGTTGCGTGGAGAGGAGGAATGGCCGCAAGAAGCTCTTGGACATGAGCTCGCCTAGCGAGGCATGTGATGCTTCTGCTGCTGTCATGAAACGTTCGTTTCCTGTAAGCTTGCGGAAACAGGCTGCTTTGTAGTGTAGGATTCGTGGAGCGAAGGATTCTTTTTTGAGAAGTAGGATAAGGGTGAACGTTGCGCTGACCAAGATCAATGTTATCCATTCAGCCCATCTCCAATCGACAGATGGGTCGTATCCAACATAAGCGCCTATGACGGGTCCTGTTTATCAATCGTCTTAGTAAAGCTTCTAAGATATGCTCTGTGAATCAGACAGGAGTATCAAGGACTTACCAAAAACTGGCCCACCAAATGCGGGAATGGCGTAAAGGGGGAGCGCAAATGTCTTTTCAATTGGATCCCACATATCTCCCACCGTCCCTCCCGCTACCGTGAGCGGAGCACTAGCGGAAAATCCAGCTAGAAATCGGAAAACAAGTTGAGCGCCAAAGTTCGGCGCCAAAGCTGCGCCCAGGATCCAGCATCCAAAGATGAATAGTGAAACAAGGTAAACGAGATACCGTCCCAGGAGCTCAGAAAGCGGACTAAGCAGCAATGCTCCCAATCCCATTCCGACCAAAAACAGCGCGGTAGCCAGCGATTCCGCCACCTCTGATACACCAAACTCAGCAGTCGCACTGGTCAACACAGCGGATTCGATCGAGGATGCGATAGTCGCCACAAACGCAACGAGGCAAACAAGCATGGTAGCGCCCACACGGTGAATCGTAGACCACTTCTTCGGATTAAGCGGGTCATTAGGGCCAGCCCAATCAACCTGATAGTACCTCCTCCCATTGCAATCCTGCATCAACGTGATACCTGGTATCTGCGTGAACGGCTCGCCTTTTGTTTCAACATGTCCAGATTCCTGCACTTCCTGTTCTTCTGGCGTCCGAGGAATATAGGTGGAAAATTCGTCGGGGGAGTCGGTTATGCGTGAGAGTTCTTGCTTGACATGTTGCTGGATGGCTCGGCGTTGAAGGAAGAATGCCATGGCGAAAAAAGGCACTTCTCAAAGCTTTCAAGAAAGAAGGAAAGAAAAGAACATGACACTTTTTATGAATAGTTGGAAAAAAGATCCATTACTAGGTATTCTCCACTTGATCCTCAGTTCCCCGAGAAAAAATCGAAACTCCGTGGCGTATCCGAGACCACTCCCTTCGAGGCTTTACCCACCGCTCCGCCTTCATGACAATATGTACGCGCTTGCGCTTAAAAATGGGTCCTTATCGGAAAAGTGGTGATAGCAAGATGGCATGGCGGGTCTGGAATTATGGGTTTTTGTGGCTTGTGGGTTGAAGCTTGGACCCTGTGTATGACGATGGAAGCATGCTTTCCTCGGAAGGGGCAACACGTGTGGGAGAGAACAGAATTAGTGGCGGGTATAGCTTATTTCCGGGAATATATAAGTGGGTATTATTTGAGCCGCATGGTCACTACTTACTTGTGTGAACGGTTACGGTTGTGAGAAAGAAGAATAAGAGCATGTGGGGCACTGAAAAGACTTTGCATCTATAAGATTTCACCGCCACACATCAACCACAGAAAGGATGAATATGTAGGTAAAAGATAATGTGACTTGGCCAGCAATTTATGGCTAATAATGCCTGTGGAATTAATCAATTACCAAGTCGATGCCAGATCAGTCACCGCAAACCCAATACCAGAGCTCAAGAACCCTAGCTAAGCCCTATCTACATTCGCAGTCTTCTCCGCATTAAACTCTGCGTTAGACTGGTACTCGCCTTCGGGAAGCTTATCAAGACTCTCATCTTCCTTATCAAGCGATCTAAACGTCCACGTAAACCCAACATAACCAAGGAACGTAAGGATAGCGATACCCGTGTACAACCACACCAGCAGCGGATCATCAGCCAAAGGCACAAAGGCTTGGGCAATGGCAGACGAAAACGCGTGAGTGAACCAGAACATACCCGTCACGAACGATCGCATGTTCCTGGGTGCCTTGGTGTACGCATATTCCAATCCAGTAATGGAAGCGAAGATTTCCGAAAAGGCGATGAGGACGTATGCCGGGACTTGAGTCCACACCGATAGGTCTGGGGGCACGTCACAGCTGCCTGCGTATTTACCGCAGGGCGACTTTTCGTAGATGAAGTGTTGGATGACTGCAGCGACCACCATCGAAAGCAACGCGCAAACGAAACCAGCTTGGATTTTCTTCAAAGGCGAAAATTTGATGCCCCAGTGAGCGAGCTTGGGATAGATAACCTTGTCGAAGATCGGGATGAAAATTAGAAGAGTGAAGGGGTTCAGGTTGTGGACAATGTCGTTTGGTACGCCGTTGAGTTTCATGGTCGATGCCTGGGAGACCAAGTTACTTGTCCTAGATTGGAAAGACTAAAGTCAGCTTGAGTTTCGTATACTGCAATAGGGTTCAGGACGCACATTTGACTATAAGGCAACCAAAAGATAGGCAGCCAGAGGAACACCTCGCAGGCCTTGATACCACGTCGGACCTCTTCAACCCACGCATCGTCAAACGTCATCCACGACGGCTTATTGGCCATTTTGCTCGGCTTCGCGCTGTCCCAAATATTTGGATCGGAGAAGTTCCTCCATGTGCGCATGGGGTTTATCGAGAAACGACCTTTCAAGACCAATCCGTACACTCTTAAGGACTTGAGTAGTACATCGCCCTGTGGCGGCTTCTTGACGTAGTGTTTGCTGAAAACGACCATCAAGAGTGGGCAGAATGCAAAGAGAATGGTTGGCAGTGTGAACGAAAGCCAGAATCCTACGTATTTTTCGGCGTACACTGAGAGGAAGATTAGCAGCTATATCGCCATTGTCAAAATCAACCTACCCATAGAGACTTGACCAACCAATGCTCCCACATTGATCAAAAGGTAATAACGCATATAAATCCTGGAGTAGGTGATTCCAGGGTCGACAATGACACGTTCTCCGTTTGGCTCGACGCGTATGGTCGCCCTTGGGTGACTGGCCTCATATTGCTCCGCAATGAGCGGCGAGATACAGCATTTGAACAATCCAACACCCGCACCAAATAAGATCAGACCCAGGATAAATGAAGCAAGAGCTCCGTTCGGGTTTGGTCCCATGACTTGAGGGATGGCAGCGATGATGATCAAGATGTGTCCCAACGTGGCAACGCAAATAGCCACGTAAATGGTCTTGAACTTGCCTAAGTACTCATCTGCTAGCCAGCCACCTAGATAGTGTATTTAGCAGAGATATAGCGAGTTTGAAAGGAGGACTCTTACCGACCAAAGGCATGATATAAGAAAAGAAGGTGTTAAATTGAGTCAGACCCGTACTGGCACGTTGACCCATTCCCAATGCTCCGGGCTGACCATCACCAGCGGCTCCAGCTTCGGGGAATGGTCCTGTTGTAGGCAGTGGCTGCTGAATGAAATTTACAAAGACTGCTGTTGTTCCGTAGTATGCAAAACGCTCACACATTTCGACAACTCCGATGACATAAACTATCCGTAGAGTTGAAAATTAATCTGAATGATACAGAAAGATATTCGGGTAGTATACGTACTCATCCAGCTGACCTTTCCATAAACGCGGCGAAGTGTCGCCCATTCTTCATCGGTAGGATACTCCTCGCCATTGGGACCGCGAAGACTCTCAGAAGTTTTCACAAAGCTGTCTTTCTTCTCAAAACTTGCACTTGCTCTCACATCATTCTGAACGGCAGGGGTGGCTGCCAGAGCGGCATCCACAATCTCTAGATTGGCACCGGTCGACATTGTGACGAGCGTTGAGTGAACGGACCTCAGTCCCGCGAAAGGAGGCCATTCAAACTATTTATGTCGGTCCTTACGACACAATTCCTTCGCCTTGTGAGCTGCCTCATTTAGCAAAGCCGTCAACGATATGCCTCTGGGCACCGAAGAAGCTGTCCAACATGTCGAACGCCCAGAGATAAGCATCAACATAGAGAGCAAGGTAGTTCTTCCAAAACAATCCTTCAATCCACTCTCGTGGCGTTGTGCGTGTGATTGGTGCAGAGTAGTCTTGGATAACGGGTGTCCGTCCTTGGCAAATGCTGCTGTGCTGAGCCAAGCGCAGAGAATCCAATTACATGTGCTGCTCAGATGCAAGAGTGCAACTTGTCCCACCACCTGATAGCAGCCGAGAAATTCACGATGTATGGCATTCTAACCCCAAGGATCTCTTGATCAACGGAGAACGAACACCTTCCTTATCAAGTGCGGTCGACGCTCTGGGCGGAAAATACAAGCTTCAGATGCGAAACTCTCGACACTTGGGTATTTAAAAAACGACCTTTCGTAGAGTTACTTGTACTTCCTCGAGATTGCACGCGATCTGCTCCACCGCAAAGCTAACACATGGGAAACCACACGGGCGTTGAGAGCTGTAAGATGTGATGCTAGAATGACGAAATGTGGTGTCTCGAGCAGGTTTAAAACACTATTAAAAGATATTGAAAATAAGTTGCATGAGATTGGTAGTGATTGTGTTCGTGTTGTGATGCAGCAGAAAAGGTCGCCTGACTCCAAAGTGCCAATCCTACCCCACTTTCTACTTTCAATACCAATTACTATGTTAGGACACTGACCCGGAACTAGATATTAATGCAGAAAACTAGCCGACTCGTAGAAAGATTGTCTTGGTTTTTAGCCAATACAGAATCCTCGACCGCGGAAAGAGATATGCAGAGACGCCTTTATTCACGTTCGTTTGTGCTCATATGTGACGATAAGATCTAACCTCATCTACAATCATCATGATGGATAATTCAAGTTGACTTCCTGTAGATTACTGGCGGTAGGTCGATCCAATGCTAAGGTGGCTGAGAGATAGATATGATCACCTTCGGTGCCGAATCAATACGTTTTTTGCAGTGTGGGGTTTACACTTGTGTGTTATCGTAAGTATAAATAACCGTCTTGAGATCTAGAGACGGAAATCACTATTTTGCTTGCAAAGATTTTGTCACTGTGTTCATATTGCGACAGGAAGTTGTGAAAGTCTGAATCAATCTATACTACTAGGCTTGTATCGACCTCAAGAACCCTCCTCACCAATCTTGGAATCACATGGCATTTTTCTAGGACTCGCCTAACAAGGTTACAGAAGTACGTAGAATGCATAGCGCCTAGAAGTTTTGAGCAAAACTATGCTTGTTCGTGGTATATATGGCGACATGAACAACGTCATCTTGTACGCAACTAAAAATTGGTTTGACTGTACTTCAAGACCTAAGTAGATATAGTCTTCTTTCTCCCCTGATTTTCTTTCATTTGATGGAAATCAAACTTCAGATTTCTCCTTTTTTTCGCCTACTGCGATATTTTGAGCTTTTCTGGTTGCGCTATGCTAGTCTCGAGGGAAAGGAAATGTTGGTGTTTGTCATGTGACCTGCAGACTCTGGCCAACTAACTCGACACGGAGCCCCCAAACACCTTACTCAGTGCGGACTAGACAAATAGTAGTAGTGTTGCCTCTCGGGACTTAACTATGGCGCCTTCCTTTATGCACAACGACCTCTTAGTGATCGCCATTTACAGCTAGGACTTTGGTCACCATCTGGGCTGGCATAGTTCTAAAGAAACGACCCAGCGCCCTACCAACCCTACACAGCACTTGACTGCACTACAATCCGCATCCCAAACTGTTATCACCATCCCATTTTGCCGAAATGGATCCTGAAGTACCCGCTAGCACGGATATTAATGAACTCACACTCTTCAGAGAGGCAGTATCCAACAAGCCTCTGGAAACCCGTCTCGCGCTCATCCGCGCTGCTCTGGCCGCAGGGTTCTCTCCCAACGAACTAGACCGCCGCCCCCGTGCTGAAGGTCGCGCACTAGACTGGGCGATCTGCGATGGTCGTTCTGTCAATTACGCTGTGCTCAAGCAAAATCTTCCTGTTGTTGAACTACTGCTCGAAGCCGGCGCCGACCCAAGGCTTCCTTCGAGGGGTGGCTCCTCGCCGATTGATTCTTTAGAGGCCTGGTTCAAGCAGTATGAGATTCATGGGGAGACGTGGGCAGAGGAGGATTTGGAGCTGAAGCCGTTCTTTGAAAAGGCATTGGAAGCCATGAAGAGGACGAGAGATGAGCTCAATGGTGAGTTTTGCACTGATGCCCTGTTGTCGGCTCATTATTTGTTCGCTAACTCAAGGTGTGAATAGCGAAAGATGCTGCTGAAGTTGCGACGAAAGATAAGAAAGAGAGCTCGTTGTCTAGCAAGCTGAAATTTTGGTGATGCAGTCTAAATACGATAGATCACATTTGCAGGCTTATCATCATGCGAATGCTGTTTAATAGAGGGTGATTTTCTCTAGATACCCCCCAGACCCATAGATTTCAGGCACATCCATCAAAATCCGTGCTGCTTACTTAAGAATACAATGCAAAACTAGCTCACGAGCGTCTCAAATCCATTAACGTATGAATCATACCCTAAGCCGCACTCCTCAATTGTCAAAGCTCATAGCTCATCCCTCTTTCGCTTTCCGTTAGCCTCCTTTGGAACGAAATCCCAATTGGTACCAAAGTCCGGCATATCGAAATCTGATTCTGCCAAGACCTCTTCCTTCTTCTTAGTGCTCACCGAGGTCAACGCTTCTAACAAGGAACCGTCATCTAGGTCGATTGCCCATATCATGGTTCTGCGACGGATAATGATATTAGCACATAATCGGGCCAAGAATTCGCAGATCGACTTACCCTCCCAAGCAACGCTGATTTGCATAGTCTAGCTTAATCTTCAGCGTCTCAGCATCATCAAAGCTTGCCCATTGATTACCGCCCCAGGTGACAATCTTCGCTGCAGCTTCGAGATCGTGAGAAACCTTTGCGCCATCCTCGATGATCTTGTTGATCTCAGCGGCTGATAGCACACCTGGGGTTCCTGTGCATTCCCCACCCTTCGCACCCTCAGTGAACTCACAGCCCGCACTCATGCAGTTGGGATCCTTCATCGTAAAAGCTAAGTGTGAGAGTTAGCATCGACACTAGCAGGTATGGGAATGGAGATTTACTTCGACCGTAGAAGCCTAGACCCATGACTACGCGAGCAGGGTTGATGTTGTTTCTCCAGAGAAGTTCGAGCCCTAGCTGAATTTCGGTAAGGTTGGTGTGTGCGAAAGCGTATGGACCGATGCTTTTGACTGTACTGTCCCAAACACCGTCTGGATAATGCGAAGTCAGCATATTTTCCCCCATTGCAAGAGATGAAAACTGTCTTACGGATGTCATAAGTCATGATATTGAACCAATCTACCCATGGCTCCAGCTTGATGATGTCGAAGCCTTTCATGTACCAGTAAGATGCTGGCTAGATGGGAATTAGTTACGTGAACTGCTTAGTTTGACGAAAAGCCAACTTACGAGTGTGAGTGTAAGGCCGTAGTATCGACCACTGCCGTTAAGGTGGTTGCGCAGATTCTTCAAAAAGGTTACATAATTCTCAAAATCTTCCGCAATCCCTCCACGGTCCTCTGCAACAGGGTATTCCCAATCGATATCAACGCCATCAAAGTTATTGGCTTTCATGAATGTCACTAGCGATTCGAAGAATGAAGCTTGTGCAGAAGTGGATTTCGCAAGGTCGGAGAAGGTGGTCCGGTATGGGCCAGGATCATTCATAGCCCATCCACCGATAGCTACAGTAGACATAATCAGTAACAGGTTAAGTAGGAACTAGGTTGTACTGACCGATCCAGACTTGAAGTCCGGGCTGCCTTTCCTTCAGTTTGGTTACTCTCTTGTACATTTTGGCCGTCTCAGCATCCATGGCATCGATGCGGAATGTTGTTGGGTTGATAAGCGCGAATGCAAAGTTGATATGAGTGTATGCTCCAAGAGGGATGTCTTCCGGTGGCATAGCTTTGCATCTATCAGTATAATATTAATTAACAGAGTACAAAATTGCTTACTTCCACACGGTCTTTGCATATTCCAGCCCTCATAATAGCCTATGAGTTTCTCATCCGCAGTCCTCGTATTGCATTGAGGCGAGGGTGTGACAACCCCATTACAAAAGTCTGAAGTCGTGCCACAAAAGCCAAAGTCGCTGCAGCACACGTTGAGAGGGCATGTTGAAGCATTGGACCACTGGGCTCCCCATCCAGGATCACATTCGCTTTTGTAGTTGCATGTGGAAATACAACCCTCACCGCAGAAGTCGGGACCAAGTCCACAAACAGCTTTGCCAGTCGTTGGGTCTCTACAAAACTCGTTAGTAAAGCGATAAGTCTTTTTCCATGGTGGACGAACAGCGCTCCGCAGCATCCTATCTTGCAACCCTTCGTCTTACTGCATGTAAAGTCATCGTCCTCGGCTGCTGCTTCAGCGCCACCTTGGAGAGCGAACGTGCGAAGGCTGGGGTTCTCTTGGGCCAGAACAGAAAAGAAGCTGATTGACTGCAATCCCAAACCAAGCAATAATGCCCGTCTTGTAAACGATCCGACCGCCATGGTTGTAAAAAATTCACAAAGTACACTAGGTTACGGCGATGTTTTTTTTTTCACAAACTACGAAAGAAAGAGTGGCAATGGACTTCAGTGTCAACAGCGAGGGGACTTCGCCGAGCTTGCTTCACAACCATTGCGACTGCAAGCTCGGGCATAGACCATAATGGCCGATCTAATTTCAAAATGGTGCTAGAAAGAAACAGTTCCTGCATTCCCCTGCAGGCAGCATCTGCTAGTTCGCGGATGATCTCGTCCCTTACAGCATGGAAGCAGTGGCAAGCCAAGATTAGTGGAGAGTATGTTGAATCTGTTCTTTGTTTAGCACTCGAGCTAGCCTATCATAACTTGATGTCAATTATTGGGGTGAACAGAAGGCCTAAATGCGGGCCCGGCAGCCAGGATTCTGTCGGCACCTACCACATGTAGGCTTGGTGGCCTGAATACCAAGTCTTCATAAGATGTCTGTTATCTGGGGCGGCCTTACGGCGTTGGGGTCTAAGATGCTAGTGAATCGGCCCGCGCCCTGACAGGCCCTTCGCGAACATCGATCCAACTAGCCCGTTCTGTTGTATTGGTATTGTAATTTACACTTAGCGTAGCCCCTGCATGAAAATTGCATCCTTGTCTATATGTCCCACAGCTACTCGGCTTGCAATCACTTCCATTTTGATCGCTTTAGTGCATACACTACATACTAGTTTGTTCCGCCGAACTGCCGCCCAAGGCGTGCCATCGATGGATACTCGGTTTACAACTCGGAAGGAGCCTTCCTTCTGGTCTGCTTGCCTAAGGCTGCCAGCAGGGGTAAGGATATTTCGAGCATGTCTGGACTGATGCCAGGGGACGATGCTCATTAAACGGAATGCACAGTCTATGGCTACCGTACCACCTACTTTGCCTGGAAGACCTTGGCATTTTGCTGGCACGAGGCTTCCCCCATCTCAACGTCAAGTTCATACCAGCTCATACCTGAGCTTTTGGATGATTGACGACATATTCACTCATTTTTGCCATGGTTACGATGTCTTTCTGGTGGCGCTTCGTTGCCGCGTCGATTTTTTTCAAGTTCAGTAATGCACAAACCAGCAGCCCTACAGGACCTACACACCCCAACATTGCCAAAAATTGCAATGCTTTCCATACTGTTGTCAGCGGCGACGGATGTTGGGCAGTGGAAACCAAATATGGGATCTCGCACGCTAACTTTATCAAATGGAACCCTGATGTTTCTGACGACTGTTTGACCAACTTCTGGCTTGGTTCGTCATACTGTGTCGGAGTTGGTGCACTCCCGAGTTCCAGCATCAGGAGTAGCTCTGCGAGTAGGCCAGTTACGAGTTCCAGTATCAGGAGCGGCTCTTCCAGTGTGCCAGTCACGAGTGTGCCCAGCAGTACGATCAGCTCATCGAAGACCTCAGCAGTAAAGTCTTCTAGTACACGGAAGCCTGTTACTCCTACTGCCCCGTACTCTATTCGAGAGCCGGTACACACATGGAATATCTCAAGCACTACGGTGGAGACTGCCTTTCCACCGAAGAAGACACAAGCAGGACAGGTTTCGTACTGCAACAACTGGCATCTGGTGTCAGCTGGAGAAACATGTCAGCAAATCGTCGGTGCAGCTACTCGAGCAACAATGGCACAGTTGTGAGTCAAACTCCTACTTTGGTATTAGTTAAAAGAAGAAAACTAATTGCTATTGTACGTAGTCTTGACTGGAACCCAGCCCTAGATAGTGACTGCTCTGGACTCTATGATGGCTGGTGGGTGTGTATTGGCATCCAGCCGCAGTCCATGACGGTGACGTTCGACTACACCACTACCGCCGCTCCTGTGGAAGTTCCCGAGCCCACGGCATATACGCCAACAACATACCAGGATGCAGACTCCAGCTTCGTAGCTTCACCAACCCAAGCAGGCCTTGCCTCCAACTGCAAGGCTTTCCATCAAGCAAAAGATGTAAGAATCCAGTATCTCTAACGCGTAGATTTACTAACCAAGTGTGCTTTAAAGGGAGAAACTTGCAGGCAGGTACTTCAGTATGGTCTCGTTTCGCAACAGCAGTTCTTTGCTTGGAACCCTGCGCTGAATGGCAACTGCGATGGCTTGTGGTTGAACTACTACTACTGTGTGGTAGCTGGAGACGCTCTACCTGCACCTCCTGTGGAAACAAAACGGCCTTCTTCGGTACCCCAAAACCAAATTAGTACCTGCAATACATGGTACAAAGCAGATGGCTCTGAGACCTGTGACGAGATTGTAAGTATGTATGGCCGGTTCTCGAAAAATGACTTGATCAAATGGAACCCTACTGTCGGAACAAACTGTGGGGGTATAGCTGCAAACCAGTATCTCTGCATCGGTATTCCTGGAACACCGACTACTCGTACAACCGGTGTACCGAGTACCACTGCTCCCCCCTCTGAAATGCCTACACAGAGTGGCATGGTGGATAATTGTAGTGATTTCTGGCTTGTCTCTCGGTAAGTTGTAACTCTTACAGCGTGCGATATTCATACATACTAATGGGTCCACCAGATCGGATACATGCGCTTCAATTGCTAGCAAAAAGGGATCTACAGAGCTTCAGCTCTTGACCTGGAATCCAGCACTAGGCACCTCCAAGTGTACGAACCTTACACCAAACTTTTACATTTGTGTTGGCGTCGCGAGTGGAAGTGTGACTACTACGAAGCCTACGACTTCCAACTCCGCATCATCCAGCGGCCCTTCTGCACCTGTTTCATCTAGCGCAACAACGTCGGCTGGTGGAGCTATTACCACACCCTCTCCAACACAGGGAGGGATGGTTGCTGGTTGTAGGAGATTCTATTTCGTTCAGCCCGGCGATGGATGCTGGGCCATTGCCAACTCCGCTGGCATTGCTTTGAAGTAAGTCGGTGGACTCTGTTATGTGCAAGAGTGTTTACTAATATTGATTCTCAGTGACTTCTATAAATGGAACCCAGGGGCTGGTTCTGACTGTTCGAATCTGTGGCTGGACACCTGGTACTGTATCGGAATTGCTGGGCCAGTCACTACAATCTCTAGTGGGCCGCCCGTGCCAACATAGCTGCTAGCCTTTGTTCCATAGCTGTGTTATGCGTAGGGAGAGTTTGATATTTTGTAGTATTAATGCATACATGTATAATTAAACGGAACTTTATCAAGACACTATGATCATTGAAGGGCTACCGATGTTGAGGTTGTCCCTATCATTTCTCTAAAATAGTTCAGGGTATCAACAAGTTCCTTATGACTTGAGATAGTGCTTTTTCAGCTACCATCACATAGTGAACAGCGTATCTCCGGGGCAACTTGATGAATATTGGAGCTGAAGATGACATTGATAAGAGACATATTACTTAGAAGTGTAAATAATACATAAAGAAAGAAGGACCGGTTTGCCTAAAATAGCCAATCAGGAGTCACTGCCGCTGCACCCATTTGTAAATCCTCCAGAGGCCATGACAACTTTGTTGTTTGCAAAGCACCTTGCCTTAACCCAAACTGGGGTGCGGAAGCTTGCAAACCATTCATAACCGTTTTCATCCGGTTCATCAAAGTATGAGAACCCCCATTCATGGACACCCAAGCCCAAGCATTTTCTTGTTTGGTCAAGAATGGTTTCTTGTCCGTAGTCCCAACTGCTGAATCCAGCACCTGCATCCCAGGTTAGTAAAGGTTAAAATTTTGGTGTCGGATCATAATGTACCTCTGATTTCGTAGTAGCTCCAGAGGAATTTGTAGTCTCCGTTGCATGAACCGTATGTCGCCTTCACCGGCCATGGCCTGTTATCGCGCTTGACATTAATCTCATACGTGTAATCGTCTCGGCGCCATCTTCCACCAAACTTCCAGTTTAGCGGGTTCTCGGGATCGTTTCCATCACAACTGTGAACGATTCGTTGGAAAGATTCGATACAGTCATCTTTTTTGAAGTCGCCAGCGTCCTGGCCGAGCTGCAAAACAAAGGTATGTTCGTCCAGTGTGCCTGGGTAATACGTGAATTCCCTTCTCCAGCCAACTTCGTGATCAGGCGCGTTGACATCTGTGCCACAGAACTTTTCAATGCTCTCGTTCATCCTGTCACCTGTTACATAGCCTTTGCGCCCTTCTTTTTGCCAGCATTTGAACTCGTCTGTGACGGCACACGTCTCAGAGTCTTGACCGAGTACTTTGGCGCGAAGATCAATGCCTTTGGCAAGTGCGAATGAGGCAATGGTTTCGTGTCCCAGTTCATTAGGATGGAAGAGTTTACCAAAACTGTCGGGTAGTCCTAAGCCCAGTGTCGGGTCAAACCAGTCATTATCTCCTGGACAACCGGGTGGTGCAGGAGCTCGTTTGTTGAGCTTATGGATAACTTCTGCACCGGGAGAAGATGACTTCCAAAGAATACTGTTGTAGATGCTCGGGTCAATTGTGTCCTTGTTCGAGGGAAGTGTGCCATTCTCGTGCATTTGCTTGATATCTTCTTGTCTTTTCCTGAGCTCGTCATGTTCCCAACTAGCCAGATCCGTTGACGGTTTGAAGAACTGGAGGTCTGGTTGGTCTGAGTCGGGATATTTTCCGCTTGAGGACGGATCGCACATCTGACCTTTGACTCCGTCTCGCACCCAAGGATCCCAGTTCGAAAATCCGATTTGGTATTTGATAGACTCTTCGTCGCGCAAGATGTATATGACGTCTCTGATCGCATTGTTGATGGCCAAAACGAGTTTGTTGAACCTTTCTCGTCGCGCAGTTGTGAGCGTAAGAGCAGTCTTGAACCAATATTTGGGAAGCCATCTACTAAATGCCCACGACTGTTTGGTGGCACAATCATCATTCTCAGTATTGAAGAACTGGGAATAGCCGTTATACACGACGACCCCATCTTCGGCCATCTTATCGTTGAGAGCCAACAGGATCTGCTTGAGATTGGACTTGAGAATGGTATCGATGTTCTCTTGGGCTTTGTCGATGATTGCATTGCATGTCTCTTCTCCTTCGTAGGGAAGCATAACGCATTTCTTGATCATTCCGGCCTAGAAATTTGTAAGTGCATGTCCGAAGATGAAACCAAAATGTTTTCAAAAAAAGATGCAGAGTACCATACCAAGCAAAGATCATTTCCACCAGCAGTCATGATAACCATGTCGATGTTATCCTTGAGCTTTTCGACTTGCTCAAAAATCTGCACCGATCGGTCCCCGCTACATGCAGGAAACTGGAAGTCTTTGACTGAGGATCCGATTGTGTTGTAGACCAGCATTGGATATGACAGGTCATAACGCGAACACAACCAACTATTTTCATCGTGAAACACACTGCCTAGATGGTTACCTGAACCAATCCCAGCAGTGAAACTGTCTCCTATTGCAACCAAGCTCTTCACCCAGGAGTAGTCTGTTGGGTCTCCGTCTCTTCTCGGACGGACTACTGGTTTGCGTTCCAAGATATTCGAGATTGATCGTTTGTTGACACTTTGTCGCTGGGGTTTTATGGCAGCCCCAGAGGCTGTGGAAATGACTGACGTGAATAATACTGTCCAAGCCAGTAAGGGAGCCATGATGCCGTAAACGAGAAGGTCAGGCTTCTGCGAGATTCGGATCAATGATAGGTTGGTTATCCTTTCAAGAGATAATTGTAAGCAGACTTCGAGAAAGCAGCCGGGAAAACTCACTTAAGCAAAGCCCTCCTTTGCTCACCTGTACAAATGATGAAGACGAAGATGAGCCTTTTGCAATAACAAACGACAATCTTGGTGGGAGAAGCAGTAGAGCCGAAAGCAAACCTGCCTATTCCCTGTCCAGCAGCATACGGCAATCTGAAGAATTGATAGGAGTATGGTCGCCTGAAAGTCGAGGCATGGATCCAAAACTTCTAATGCTGGTATACATTTGGGCCCGTTGCACAGCCGTGTCCCTACCGGGTATCTTGTCCGCATGCATGCAACGAAATGCTTGTAGAGCTAGGCTACGGGAGGATGCAGGGGCTGCATAAAGGTTCGCACTAGCGTAAGTTGGCCCACTCACAAAATATGGGGGACGCGCCTGGATGCTAGCGGCTCGGGACGCCTGATTGACCCTGAAAAAGCATCCAAGGCCCGAGGCTGATGAAAGAAGATGAAAGTTAGGGAACTTCAGGGGATAGGATTTTCAAGGCCTCCACTCATGATCGGAGATACGCGTTCCGCGTCATACACTTTTTGGCTGTCATAAGGTTAAGAGAAGCTTGACGGATCTGATTTCTTACGTCATCCAGCACATATGTACATGCTAAGGTACATGCCTCAGAAAACTGAGTGCGATACAATCGTTCTGTATAGGCGGGGTGCTTCTTCATCAGCTTATCGATCTCGTGACATTTCCCGTGTTCTCAGATATTGCACTTGGCAGCCTACATGCCCACACATCCATTGAATCAGATGCACCAAAATTGCGACGTTGCATGCAGATAAAACCCTGCATATATTTTTTAGGCGGCCTCTATCGAAAGCGGCCTTACCAGGCACCTTCCTCGTGGCGCGAGTGCCGTCCTTGGTCTGGGTTGATCTACTGATCCTTCACTATCATCTCGGCCCTATCTCGCCACTGTGCCGGGTCAGGCGTTCCGCTGTTTTGTTACGGTATCGTGTAATTTACTGGGATCGGCTTTCGAGACAGTCTTGAGCTGCGAAGCTAATGAATTTGACCAACACATGACAGCACGGCTGGTTGTTCTAGCATGGATTGCAAGGATAATTATTCATTCTAGTTACCCGTTTGCACTTGTGCCACTCTTCAACAGTTATATTTAGCGCATGTCAATATCTATGCCTTGGCTTTCCCTTTATGGAAGGACCAAACTAGTTCTCTTATGGTGGAAAATGATGGGCGCAGCGCACACAAGGTCTCTTGAGATACGGTACTCGCAATCGTGACCTGCTGTGTTCTCGTGGTCCTACTCACCAAGTATTTCCAACTGTGACATGTCGTAAAGACGTGACTCAATACATTCGGTGAGCACACCTGATTCCTACCATGTAAAATGTAGCTAATTTGCTCATAGTTTTTATTGCACCATGGGTTCTTCCATCTTAACACTCGTTTTCTCTACTATCCTGGCCGCTCATCCTGTTCTTGCAGGGAGTCGTGCCTGGGAATCTTCTATCGTTTATACTCCACCCAGTCACACTGAGCTGCATGGCGACCTTTTCGTACCTGAGAAAGAGAATGCGACAATTGGCACGGGCTCTCGGAGGTCTACGAACATAATCAAGAAGCGCTATGTGACCATCAACCCAGGTGCCGCCAACTCGGACGACCGCTTGTGGCCAAACGGCAAGATTACATATTGCTTTGAGTCGAAAGCTACAAAAGAACTTTTCTTCGAAGATCTGCTCGAGGCGAGAAAGCTATGGGAAAACTCAGGGCTTGGATCTGGCTTTGACTGGGAAGAAAAGGATGAGTCGTAGTAAGTTGATCCCGATAAGAAACTAATTTTTGAAGATTGCATCAATTCTGACAGAACCTTTGTAGCTGTAACAACAACGCGAACAGGCCGAACTTCCTTCTCATCACCAAGAGCGATGGGCTGTCCTGTACTGTTGGCATACCGCCTCTTAATAAGATGAGCGGCGACCCAGAGAACAGAGGGCCTCTAATGAGACTGACTGCCGATCTTGATATTGGAAAGCAAAACTTGGTTGCCAATTTTGCGCATCAAATGGGTGTAAGCATCCCTTCATGTTTGGTTCATCGAAGCCCAGCTAATAAGAGATTTAGCATGCGTGGGGCCTGCATCATGAGCATCAAAACCCAGCTTTCTGGTCATCTGACTACGCTGCTGCCGGCGGAAATGTCTTCGGTTCTTCAAATTTCAAATGCCAGAACCTGAAAGACTACGCCAGCGTTGCTGCAACACTGACTGCCGATCAAATGAAGAAAGCCTGCACTTCGAGGGCTTTTGCTAAGGCTCATCGATTCAGCGCTGCTGAGTATCTCCCATTTGCTGATTCAACTGCATACAGAGCAAGCAAGTCGGTTACGGAACCTGATTGGGACTCTATCATGATCTACGATAGTGGTATGGGATCAGTCTTGACCAAGCCGAATGGAGACCAGATCAAGCAAGTCCTTGCTCCTAGCCAGCGCGATGTCGAGGGTCTAAAACTGCTTTATGGCATTTCGCCCAAGTCAAAGTTCAATCCACTTGGAAGTAAGTCTAATTCCAAGAGGAACAAGTTCAATGACATCCGTAAGAAAGAGAGGGACAGTGGGTGTGGAGAGGTCCCCGATGATGATCCGAAAGGGCAAGTCTTGTGTACTCCCGCTACCTGCGGTGGAGGCTCTTGCCCGGCTAAGAAAGCGCGAGCTGTAGAGGCCACAAGTAACCGGAAGGCATTGCCTCGTGCAATCCCGACAACAGCAGACCCCGTGTTTGGTTTTCTGAACAAACCAACACCGGGAGGTCTGGACGCTTTTGCCCAAGAGTTCTTCGATACCAAACCTTTCTTAGTTGACTTGGAGGATGTCGACAGTCGTGAGCGTTCCACTTCTATCTTCATGCAATGGAAACAAGGTCCGTTCATGGCTGGTGTCATGGGCCTGTATGGATGTACATCTGTGCTGTTGACTTCTCAATGTGGCATGTTTATGGCAAGAGACCGTTAGCCTTTTTGTAAGATATCCTTTAGCTAACAAGAGACAGTCGCATCATTGGGAAAGTTGGTGGAAGGGAAAGGCGACGGAAGAGCAATTCCGAAATGCAGTCATTAAGCCGCTAGTAGAAGGCGATATCGACAATCCCTCCTTCCTAGGATTTCCTCAACTCCCCAAGGATTGCTTAACTAAAGAGAAGAATCTCAAGGTATGAATCTCCCTTTTGTACTCGACAACTGGAATTGCCATATACTAACGACATCATCAAGGCAACCATATTCACACCAACCTTTGTCGCCGGGACCACATCAAAGTACCAGGCAAAGGTAGCAATGCTTGTCTCAGCTGTTGCTGAGTCCATGTCAATAGCAGATTCCGATATCAAGATCCAACTTTATGACGCTAACGTGGACGACAATTACAAAGACGATTGGCAACAGGTCAAAAACACCGACACAGCAAGTGGCAAGGTAATGCTGACTTACAACAACGACATCTTCAATGATGGGAACAGGGCTGCATACCAAGTCTGGGGTGGAGCTTTAGTGGACGGTGTAAAGCAAGCTAACAGTGCTATCACTGAAGCAATGATGCAGGTGAGTTGTGATTTTTCTGTGCACCATCATTCCACGTTTATTTGCAATCGCCGAACGAACGAAATTTGCTCATGACATGGCATATACTGACTTTGAGCTCTAGGACGATTGGAAACCAAACTTCTCAAGAAAACGAGCGATTCTAAGATTCTTTGGTTTGGCCTAGGCTAAGCTTCACATTTGACTTCACTTTCCCTTATTTCGCTTCGCCTCCGCTTACCTTAGTCTCATCTCTTCTTCATCTATAGCTCTTGAATCAAAGCTTTCATGTATCATCGATGCTTTTCGTAGTTGGAGTTGTTCCCTAGCTAAGACGTACATTATGAGCTCTTCAGTGAAAGAAGGAGGTGTGCAGTGAAAGATACACCCACACAATGCCTTTGATGGGCTGGGAGACGATTCACTCCTTACAGCCGCTGTCCCTTATAAGCGTCTTTTCTCCCGAATACATATGTCATTGTCGCACAATTCACTCAATTACCAAGTTGGGAGTCTACATTAATTTCATAACTGCCCTAGAGGAATTTCCTTCAATCCGCAACTGGTCACATGTGTCGCGCATAACCATTCACTATGGTTTCAGTAACAGAAGTTTCTGGTCCACCCTCATACTCTGGCCCAGCAACGCGAAATGCTCGCCTCAATCAGTCATTATCTATACGCCATCCTCAATTCGGGTACTCTCCATCAATCTTCTCTGATATATTTCCTTTGACTGCTCTTCCAGTCGGCTCCTTCGTACAACCTTCATTCGGATTTAATACTGACTCTAGACACCTCTCTGGGCCCCATACTCGAAACATGTCCAGTCAGTCACAGCCGTCCTCCAATTTTGATGAATATTCCTTGAGAAATGTGCGCGCTGTGCGCCAAAATCATCTGAGTATGCCCGACCACAGTGAATTTGTTGCCGCTGCGATATCGAGACAGAACACAACACAATTATCTAGTGCGATGCAGTCTAAGACCAAACCGCCGCCATACCCACTGCATGACGAGACCGTTCATACTCAGTCAACCAATATTGTCCATAATTCTTACGATATATATCTCCGTCAGCCAACAGCAGAAGACTTTCTCCGACAACAACATCCACTACCACCACCGCCAGTGGAAGTATGCGACATCGGCCAAGATCTGCCAGTAATTCAGCCAGACTCTTACCTAGAAATGGATCAGCTTGAACAGCCTATTGAAGGTCCTAGCAATTCCCAACCTGGTGAGATAGATACAGATACCCCAACGCATCCTTCCACCAAGTCTTCGCCCGAGCCATCATTCTCATATCACACCAGCCGCGTACAATCCATCGACAGTGACATGTACCAGCC